TGAACAAATCAATGAACATTGCTTGATACTCTAACACTCAAACTACAAATTGAAACTTCTAGAATCAGCCCAACATCTCCAAACCCCCTTTCTTGTAGAGTTAATTTTAAGCTCCCTGTGTCACGTCTTTGTGACTCTAACATCACTCACAGAGACTTTATAAATATTTGGGGCAATAACTGAGAAGAGCTGTACACAGTGAATCAGGGCATGCAAGCTGCAAACCTGTTGGAGTTCAGAGAGAGTTCTACCTGCCAAGATGGTGGGACCATCATATGTAGATCCTGTTATGCTGGGTGTCATTCTAGTTTCAGATGAGGGTCTTCCCAAGAGACCCACCTGCCCCTCTTTAACATCTTTCTCCAAAAGAGCTCCCAGGCCATCTGAAAGACCCTGGCAGATATCTTACAGGAAGACAGCTCAAGCCCAGGGAGAAAAGAAACTAGAAGTCACAAAAAAAAAAAATCCCTAGCTCCCCCAAGGGGTCCAGAGACGAGATTTTAGCCCAGCCCCCAATCTGCTCATCATCTACACCCTGAGACCTGGGCAAATTTTTCCCCCGCTAGGCCTCTGCCTAGTTCATCTCCCAAAGCTGGGGGTGGGTTTGGGGTGAAAACAAGGCGAGCTCTCTTTCCAGTTCCTCAGAGGGGCCGCACATTCTCTTATCCATGGGCATTTCCTCTGCACAGAGCAGTTTCTCCACTGACCACTCACCTTCACCCTTAGCCTCCGGCCTCCTGGCTTCCACCGTGTGTCCCAATTCTCCCCTGACACCCGCCCAGACTGGTTCATTCCATTGTCTAGATCAGATACTCCAAACACTTTCTACATTCCCTGCCTTCAAGCCAAACTCAATCATAATCACTTATTCACTTGCCCATTTCCACCACGGACTGGCAGCCCCTGGCTTCTGTTCACCGTTTGATCCTGTGCCCAGCACACTGCTTGGCACGTCGGTAATAAAGAAGGGCTTGCTGAATAAACAAGTGAATGAGTGAATAAGTGAATACAATGAAGAAATGTGTAAACACATGAATTATTAAGTGCTCTATAGTCTTACAGTTTGGAGGGGGGTGGGAGTGTAACTTACCTCAAATTTCCCTAGAGAGTTGGTAAGGTTTTTTTCAGCATCTGTAAAAAAACACAGCACGAATAGTTTGTTGGTACAGTTGTGAGTTCCCGCGGGGTTTCCCCTGCTGTGTTTCAGAAGACTGGAAACAAACACTGACAGCCACCCTGTCCGCCTGCTCCTCCCCGCCTCCCAGCTTCTGCCCCCCACCTGCCTCCTCACTCTCTGTCTCTATTTCTCTTCTCTGCCTTTGCCTTTCTTTTTTTGTGTCTCTGTCTGTTCCTCTTCCCTTTCCTTCCCCCACCCCACCTGTCTCTCCGTCTCCTCTCTCTTTCTCCCTCCCGCTCAGACCTTGTCCACTACCCCTCTCTGGTCCCGTTTCTGTCCCATCCCTGCCTGTTCATGGATCACTCTCCACGTGTGGCCCATGTGTGGCAGGTGCCTTACAGATGACACCTCGCCTGCCTTTCCACCACCTGGAACAGCATCCTTTGTTCTTTGGGAGGAACAGTAGTCAAGCGCGTGGGCCCTGGAGTTAGACGTGGCTGGTTGGTTCCAAGCCTGGCTCTTCCATGAACCGGCTGCGTAACCTTGGTTGAGGGACCTAAGGAAGCTCTCCGAACTCCAATGTCCTTTTCAGGAAAATGAGGTGAACATGCCCTTCTCAGAGGGTTGCAAGGATGAAACGAGGTAATGTGTGGAAAATGCTTGCATCGTGGTAAAACGCAGTAAATGTGAACTCTCGCATCCCCGTCTGCTTTACAATAGGGGCTCTGTCCTCTGCAGACATTGTTAGTACCAGAGGTCCTTGGGGAAGATGGTAAACACCTCTCAACTGAGCATTTCCCCGGAGGACCATCCTAGCCCTGCCCTGCCCCAGATCCCTGACCACCCAGGGCCCCGCTCCCTCTGCCTCTAGTCTTTTGTACCTACGTAAATTTAGGCAGAATCTTTGCAGATGGAGACACTCCCAAACCCAGCCTCCCCACGAAGTCATCTGAGCAGGTTTTACTAATTATAAACATCTGGGGTGAGTCCATGAAACTCAGATTCATTGGTCTGGGTGACGCTGAGGATGAGTATTTTCAAACCACCCAGAGTGACTCTGATTGGAGAACAAGCATTGGAACTTCTGGTCTAAACTGAATGGATGCTCACATGATACTGAATGAAGGCATGAAGGAATGAGTCAATGGGGATGATAAATGAATAAAGGGATGAATGAGTAAATAATAGGTCTGCCTCCATGGGAAGAAATGTTAACACTGTCCCCTAGGCCTGTGCTTCAGGCTCCAAAGTGTGTGCCCATTTGCCCTAGGCTCTTCTGAGCACAAAAACGTAGCATAGCTACTCTCCATCCCTCTATTTCCTGTGTCTTCTCCCTGATCTCACTCCACATCCTTTGCTTCCCTGGGGTCTATTTTCCCCATCTTCTCACTGCCTCCCCACGTCCTTTCCAGTTTCCCACTTTAGTCCTTTGAGCTTCCACTTCCTCCCTTATTCCCTCCCAGCCAGGCTCAGTCCACCTCCCACTACAATATTTGTAAATCGAGGATCCTTTCAGCGTCCCAAGGCACTTGTGTGAGAAGAGTCTTTGAACACAACAGTTACACAAAACAGATTTATTGGATGAACCGCAGCGACCAGCGGGGTCAGAAAATAGCACAGGCTTTCCGAAGAAGGGGCAGGGTGGGACTAAGGGAGGGGCGTGGCCGGCAGACTCCTCCCCACTCCGTCCAGGACTGCTGCTGAGTTCTAGGCAGGAGGTTGCTGCAGGTCCCCGGGAGGGTCTCGGAGGGGCACCCCCTTCCCTTCTAGAAGCTTCTTTCACACTTGACTGGATGAGTTGAGGACAGCCCTGGGCTGAGAGAGTGAGTCTGTGGAAGATTCTGTCTTGTGATGGGGAGACTACTAAGTTGAGTCTCTCCATTCTCTGCATTGTCCTTCCTCTTCTCCCAGAGCTGGCTCCATCCCAACAATGGCTGAGACGTCCATTTACACCAAGTTGGGCTTTTCCTGCCTCTGTGGTTTTTGTCCTCCACATCCAAAATCCTCCAGAAACAAAACCCGGAACATATACACCCTGCCCCCAGCTCACAAAAGCCCTGCCATTAATTTCACCCTCGAGGTCTCTCTGGGTGTGTTGATGTCTGCTGTCAGCCCTGCATGGCTGTTCTAGTCACTGTCCCCAGCCCCCCAGCAGAGCAGGAGAAGCCAAGGGGTCCCATCGTCAAGGTGAGGTAAGAAAAAACCCACAGGGCTCTTCATCCCATGGGAAGCTGGTACCCCTCTTAGGAAGAGGTCACAGACCCTGGAAACAGAGAGAGTGCTGAAGGAAATCATGAACTCAAAGCAAGTTGAGAAGGCGTGGGAAAGGGGCCCAGCGCTGCTCTTCTTCAGCCTCCGGTTTCCCTCATGCAACTAGGGAAAGACTGAGGACCCAGCCCAGAAGACCGCAGCTTACGCCCAAGCCTCAGGCACCAGGTGCTTTGCGGAGAGACGCCCCTACAGGGAGCCAGGAGCAAACACAAACGCAGACTTCTCTCTTGAGCACGGACCAGCCGTCACAGCCCCCAAATCCAGTGGGGGTAGGCTAATTTTTATTCAATATCGCCTCCATGTGTCCCTTCTTCCCTCAAAGAAAAATGGAGATGTGTGTGTTGCAGGGGGCGGGGGGGATGGGTCATCCAAGTGACCAGCACACAGGTACACTGCTGTCATGCTATGCTCATCCAGGGTTACATATTTATACATATACACACACAAGACAAGAGTCTCCACCGCAGCCAAAGTGACTCTTGTCACTGAGTAGCACCAGTGCCCCAGAGAAACATCCTAGGGGCAACGGGTGGGGCAGGGTAAGCTCAGCTCTGGAGGGGGTTGGAAGGGGCGGGATCTGGGGAGAGAAGCCAAGCAGCACATAGACCAAATGCTGACTCCCCCTTTCCTCCACTTTCCCTTCCCAACCCCCCATTCACAGGAGGGATCCAAGGAGCCCGTTACTTGTCAACCCCAGCGCCTTCCCGTTCCTGCAGAGAAAGGGGGTGGACAACAGGGTCCCAGGAAAACTAGAGAAAACATATCTAGTTGGCACCATGGGTGGGCTGCAGGAAAGGAGCTCCCCACCCCCCACCCCACCCCCACCCCCGCCCCAGGTGCCTGAAATCACAGCACTCTGATCCGATTTGGGGAAAAGTTCTGGAGCTCCCGCCTGCAGACTGGAGTACTAACTCTGACACCCAGCCCAGCCCACCCCCACCCCACCCCGTTTCCTAGGCTTTCTCAGAAAACACGATAAAGAGATTGAACAGAGGCAGTATTTACAAGTTTCAGGATTCTTAACCCTTAGGAGCCCCTCACAACAAGGAAGTAAAAAGTGGAAGAAGAAGGGATTGGGGGTGGGGCGGTGGGGCTGAGCAATGGGAGAGGGGGGCAGGAGCCAGAGGTAAGAAATCAGAGGGAAAAAAATGCAGAGATAGAGCGGAAAACAGAGGAAGGATAAGGGGAGAGAAAACGCAACGGAAAGAGGGGAGAAAAAAGAGCTGGAGAGCCAAGAAAGAAGAAAGGAAGCCGGGAAACCAACTTTTATTGAGCCAGACGCACGTGTCATTTTACTGCCCATATGACTTCCCCCAGTTTACACAAATGGAGAAAGTGAAGCTCAGAGAAGTTGAGAGACTTGTGCCAAGTCAGTCTCACAGATGCTGAGTGGCTGAGCACAGGTCTGCAGGGCTCTGTCTCCTTCCACCACCCAACAATCCTCTGACCAAAACTGAAGGAAAAAGGAGAGCAGGAGGGAGGCGGGAGGCAGAGAGCCGGGAAAGGAGTCAAGTGCAAGAGAGAAGGTGCCCTCATACTACCTGACTTTCAGAGAGCAAGGGTAAGGGCTGGGGTGGGACAGATGGCACCAGGCTTCTCTGGGATCCCAGCCCTAGTCAACCACGAGGGTCTCTTGGCTGTAGGGGATGGATTTCTCCTGCGCCTGCTCTCCGCCCTTCCCGGTGTTGGAGCCCGGCCCCTGGCTGTGCCCCGAGGAGTAGCTGGCCGACTTCTCCCCGCTGCTGCTGTGAGAGGCGCCCCCACACCTGCTGTGGCCCCAGCAGAGCATGGAGGTGCAGGCCTGGCGGAAGCGGGGATCAAAGAAGGCGTAGAGGAAGGGGTTGAGGCAGCTGTTGATGTAGCTGATGCAGGTGCAGTAGGGAAAGACATTCATGAGGAAGAGGTCGAAGCCGCAAGGCCAGTGCAGGAGGCTGCCCAGCATATAGAGCGTCTTCACCAGGTGGTAGGGCATCCAGCACAAGGCAAAGGTCACCACCAGCACCACGATGATGCTGAGCAGCCGGCGTCGTTTCCGCAGGCCCTCGATGCGCTCCTTGCGGAAGTGGCCCGCGATGGTTTGCGCGATGAAGAAGTAGCAGGTCAGCATGATGGTGAAGGGCACCACAAAGCCCAGGGCCGTGGACGAGACCCCCAGGCCCACCTCCCAGGCCCACTCCAAGCTGGAGGTGGCCACCATGGAGTAGTCCATGTAGCACTGCATCTTGGTGATGTTGTCCAGGTTAGGAAGCACCGTGGGGGCCGTGGCACGGAACACCATGACCGGCATGGCCAGCAGGGCAGCCAGCACCCACAGGACCGCCGTAGCCACAGCCCCACTGACCCGCAGCCTCAGGCGAGCATTGGCCACTGGCCTCACAATGGCCAGGTAGCGGTCGAAGCTGAGGCCAGTGAGGCAGAAGACGCTGGCATACATGTTGACGAAGATGAGATAGCTGCTGAGCTTACAGGCGAAGGTACCAAAGGGCCAGTCGTAGTCCCGGTACGTGTAGGTGGCCCACAGAGGCAGGGTCACCACGAAAGTCAGATCAGCCACAGCCAAGCTGGAGATGAAGATGTCAGCAGAGCGCCTCTTCTCCCGGCTGCTTCGAAATACGGTCCAGAGCACCAGGCCATTGCCCGTGGTGCCCAGGAGAAAGACCAGCATGTAGATGGCAGGGATGAGGGCCCCCGAGGACTTCCAGTCCGTGTACTCACACTCAGACTGGTTTTCTGCCCCATAGTCATCAAATTCACCACCTTCCTCCATGCTGCAGGGCAAAGAGAAGACAGGCAGGGGGTCCCTGAGGCAACCAACTCCGCGGCTGTGTCACAAACTCAGCAAGCAAGTGCCCAGAGCTTCTGGCTTGATTGAGCCTTGGAGAGCAGGCAGAAGAGCTGAAGGTGTCCAGAGCCCTTCCCAGCAGCGGGAGGAGCTGCCTGCTGATTCTTGGGACCCTGGAGGATGCTGCTCCTGCAGACTTTCCTCCACCCTCAGCTGAGACACTTCCTGCGCCCTCCTGAGTTTCTGTCTCCTCCTTGGCTCGTCACTCCCTCCTCCCACCTCCAAACCAACCCCTCACTTGTGAGTCCTAAGATCTTTAAGTTACAGCCCACTTTTTTTTTTCCTTCTTGTCACTGGGCAAGTGGACCAAATTGACCCCTGCAGTGCTGGGCAGAATGTTATCTGTGGCTTGCAGCCAGCTCTCCTCCTGGTCCCGCCTCTATCCCTCTGGTTTCCTCTGGCCCTTGGAAAGGCCCCTTCTCTGTCTTCACCACTGTCCTGTTCTCACCCCCTCCCATCTTCTCAAAATGGGGCAAATTATGCAGATTGCAATTAAGCCTCAGCTGGAGCCAGGGCGGGTTGGGGACAAGGAGGGTGAGATTTCCAAGGACGGTCTGAGTGTCTGGCAAGCCTTCCTGGCAGGCGGTCTTGCCCTTTTGGCCTGTCCCACCCTCCCTCCACTCCTGTCCTTCCAGCCCTCACCCAGACCAGACTTCACTCTCCTTTACCCTTCAGCTCTGACCTTCTTTCTGAGAACTTTTATATTTTACAGACAGTGACAGGGGGATTTCTCTGGACTTTATAAGTTGATGACAGATAGCAATTTGCATATGGCATAGGAAGTTGCAGAGAGTCGGGACGGAATCACGGGATGAAAAAAAAAACCCAGACAAAAGAATCTCTCATCAAGTCATTAAATCTGTGGGGAAACTGAGACCTAACAAAGTAAATGTCTTGCCCAAGGTCCCAGGATGAATTGTGTTCTGGTGGTGTTGTTTGCTTTCCTTCTTTTCTAAGTGCCCAACATGTAGTTGGTGATCACTAAGTGGTTGCTGAGTGAATAAGTGGATGGATGAATTAGGGAGAGAATGAAAAAAGGCATGAGTGTAGGAAGTACTATGCAAGGAGAAGAGAGGTGCATTTCAGCCTCAGGCTTATAAGCCCTGCATGGACCAGGAGGTTTCTGTAAGGCCATGTGGGGACAGACAGTCACAGCTAGAGAAGGAGGCAGAGAAACGGGAGCTGCTGAGTAGACGCCATGGGCACAGCCCTATAGAAACTCATTTTACCCTGTCTGCCTACTTCTCCGGGACCTCTGGGAGGGCAGGAGGGAAGGATGCAAAAGATAAGGTAAAAAATACCCACCCCAAACGTGGAGGAGACCATCTAAAGTTGGGCAGAGGTGAGATGACACAAAATCAGGAACTAATTCTTGCCCACAACCAAAGCAAAGGTCTTAGAAAACTAGAATCTATTGCCGCAAGGGAGGTTAGGTCAGAAAATCTCCTGCAGATGTCTCAAAGCAGAGACCCCCGAACCTAAATACACTCAAGGATGAGGCTAAGAATGTATACAGGTAAAATGGCTAGTTTGAGACTATAGGGAGGGGTGGAGCCTGCAGCAAACCAGAGCAAGCACACTCCACCCAAAAGGAGGCCTCCTCAGCTCCGTCCCTTATTGCCGGCATTGTCATGCCTTCTGGTTTTTCAACATAACTGCAAATTCTGGATTTTATGAGAGATTTCCTGATTTACGAATTTAAGAAATTAAATTTCTTTTTAAAAACAGATAGGGCAGGACAAGGGAAACATGTCCTCGGGTCCCCAGTTGGTGCTGTTTGTACAGGAGCTTGCCAAGAATAGAAGGTGGGAGAAAAACAGGGAGCAGAGACCAGGAGGAAGAAACATAAAATGCAAAGACAGTAAAATGAAAATAAACATGGCCAAAGCCTCCGGGTGCAGTGGGAGATGCAGGAAGAGGCTGGAGAGAGAGATAAGAAAGATGCTGAGGGTCTTGGATGTCATTTCCCTAAAGGCAATGTGCGGAAGAGAACACCTTGATGTTTGTCCTGAGGGTTACATAGTGAGCCCCTACTGCATGCTAGGCATTCTTCTAAACATTTTCTATTTTGTACATATTTATCCCCTTTAATTGGCAAGAGAACTTTAGGATGTAGGTGCTCTCGTTTTCCAAATGAGGAAACTCAGGCAGGGGAAGGAAGAATAACTTGGTCAAGGTCACCCAGCTAGTAACTGCCAGAATCAGAATTTGAACCAAGGCTGTCTTTAGTCCACGAACTAAACCACTATGTTCCCAAAGGAAAAACTCCAATCCTTTTTAAATTGAGGCATTTGTCATCTGTTGAGCATTATAGAAATGTACGACGGTGCTAGGATACATGGAATTTACTTTGAAATAAGCTCTTTGGGAAAATTAAAAATAGATTGACTGAAATATTTTAGAGAGACTCCCCACTCTTTTCTTTAAAGATTTTATTTTTTTATTTTTAGAGAAAGGGTGGGAGAAAGAGAAACATCAGTGTGTGGTTGCCTCTCGCACACCCCCTACTGGTGACCTGACCTACAACACAGGAATGTGCCCTGACTGGGAATCGAACCAGGAACCCTTTGGTTTGCAGGCCAGTGTTCAGTCTACTGAGCCACACCAGCCAAGGCTGAGACTCCCCACTCTTGACTAAACAGGGTATAAGTGCCCTGCCAGGGAACAGTCTGCACTAAACCCTCAGGGTAAGCAACATAGCTTGATCCAGAAACAGCCCTGTGCCCAGCCATTCCCCAAGAGGATTCCTGGTTGCCTGCTCCCAGCTTGGCAGTTAACAGGACCCAGCCTCTAGAACGTTGGCAGTCTGAAAAATGAGGTTTGGGACACCCAATAGGACCCAAACTGGGGCTTCCTGCTCTCACAGTTCCCCGGGTCCAAACTGCCTGGGACCTGATTGCTCCTTCATGTCTGTCTAATAGAAGCCTGTGTGGATGGCAGAGTGATTGACAGTCTTAATGTAACAGCAAACCTGGGTGGCAATGATTAACCTTCAACCATGACAGACTTCTTCAAATGTGACCTATCAAAAGGGACATTAGCGTTGTGCAGGAATGTGTTTGGCTCAAGTCAGCTCACAGATGATGTTCCTGTGATAAATAAAAATGACTGCTCGGGATATTCCAGAATAAAGGCCAAGTTCAAGACCTCCGGTAAATCCAAACTTCTGTGCTTCTCCCAGAAAGATGCAGAAAGATACCCCTGTCCTGTGCAGTTGGGGACACGAGGAGGGTGGGGGGTACAAGTGAGCTCGGAGTGCCTAGAAATCAGGTCCCTCTCCCTAGCTGTTCCCAGGTGGAGCCTGAGGCAGATAGAGATCCCGTGGGAGAAGAAATGCATCCATCACTTTAATCCTCTGGCTGCCAGCTTTCTGCCTCACGGGGGTCAGAAGCAGTTAATCTCACCAGAGGAATCCGACTGGTTGAAATGGGGGCCAAGGCCGGGAGGATGCCACTGGCTGGGGCCAGAGGGGGTGCAGTGCTGATAAGGCCTGACCTCCAGCCAAGAGCCAGCTGGAACCAGATGGGCCAAGTGCCACCAGTGGCGGCAAAAATGATCAGAATCAACCTACCTCACAGCTCACCCAGCTTGACACCCAGTACAGGAGGTGAAGGTCTAAAGACCAGTAGGTGGAGGCAGACTGTCCCTGCTCCCAAGGCTCAGAAGGTGGCCCTCACCAGACAGAGTACCTGGGCAGGACCTGCTTCTCATTTCTGTCCCACCCCCATTTGGTGCCTGGTAAATTATGGCCATAAAAACACTACCAGGAAAAGGATAGAAAAGGCTGGTCTGCACCTCAGGGCTGCTCTCCTTCATGAACAAGGGCATCTTTTTGCTAAATTGATCCAGAATAATCTAACCTGAGCCATCTGGCAAACCAGCAGCTAAGGCAGGACTGTTGGCCGGTGTCCCCGGGCTGGCCTGCCCTGGGGAGGCCGAGCGGTTTTCCTGGGGGACTTCTGTCTCTCCTGGGTGACTTCTTAGGGTATTGCAATGAGCCTGAGACAAGCAGCTCCTGGGGGACGGGCCTCAGACCAGCCCCTTTCAGGAGAGCCCAGCCTGCAGGGGGACCTCTGGAGTCCCTGAGTCAATGGCCCTCGCTACTCCAGCCCCAGGCTGGTTCCTGGCTCAGACAGCAGAAACTAGCCTGGCCCTGTGCCAGTGGCTGTGTGGCTCTGCATGTGTGTGCAGGGCTGGTGTGTGCGTGGGGTCACCTGCGAGCACACAGGACATGCGTGTGCGTGGGGCTCTGGGTGCAGTATTTACCGAGCAGCAAGCCAGTGGTGGGGTCAGGGAGCTGAGTAAACATCCCCCTGGGAAGACAGGAAAGCTCGGTTAATTGGATCTCCAAGGGCTCGGGATGTGGGGGAAAGGCAGGAGCCTCGCCAGGCCTTGCTGCTCACTCTGGGTGGAGGACATCAAAGTGGACGCTGCCTTTCTCTGCCCCTTGCTGGCTTCTCACCTCCTCCCTCCCAGCTCCCCGCTCCTGCCCCCTCACTTCACAGGTCTGCTTTGAACTCCACAGCTTCGGAACCCACCCAGGGCAGCGGAGCCCTTTCCTCCCTCCCCAAGAGGCAGCAGCAGCTGTGCCCTGAACAGCTGGCGGTGTTATCACAGGGAAAGGGGAGGGGAGGGCCCAGGAACAGGGGGAACAGGCGGCTGCCCGGCCCACTATGGGACTCTGCTCCCCTCCCTCCAGCCTGACCCACCCCGTCCCAGACTCACATGCTCACACACTCCCGAGTCCTGCTTTTGCAGCTTATCTGACCGAAAACAAATGGCCAGTTGCTTAATGGCAATTAAAGCAGCACCCCCCCGCCAACTTCTCCAGGCCATTTGGTGCTACTCCAAACTCCCGGCCATCCTCCCCACTGCTTAGACTTCCCCTGGCTCTGGAGACCACAAATGCAGGAAAACCCTCTGGC